GTGAGTATTTAATAAAATTCAATGAAACTCGGTACACTCAGTGGGTGCACCCATATAAATATTTTTGGAAGGTCATATGGTTGTCATGGCAACACACTAGTCCCCAGTCTCTTCTTTTCTATTTCACAAATTTCCTCCTGTAGACCTCTTGCAGAGGATGTTAGCATGTTATAACGGTTTAAACTGATCACAATACCTACACGTATTATAGTAATAAGCGACAATTGCAGAAATTACTATTTATTTCGTTGGAAATGGATCATATAGAAATTGGAAGAGAAGGGACTGGGGACGAGTGTGTTGCCATAACAACCATATAAACAAGCCAAAGTGTTCACTTCATCGCATCCCCTAAGTGTGCCAAGTTTAATTTAATTTTATTAAATGACCATCAAGATATTAGATTTTCTTGTTATTGCCACTGTTCTGAGTCAAACTAGTGACGTCACAACTCAAAATATTAAAAGTGGGATAACTTGGGAATGAGATGAGATACGAACAAACTGGAAACGTCATTCTTCATCATTTAAGCAGTACCTTTTAATAAGGCAATAAAAAACGAGGCGAAAATTTCGTTTCATAAGCACTTTAACTAGACACATGGTCAGATAGGCCAGTTAGCCCATTAAGCGCCAGCGCTCTCCCCTTGACGAGTAAAATCGTCTGGCGTTAGACAGAGTAAAATACTAAAGTAGAGTGCATCAGGGTGCAATGCGACTCAATGGGTTAAAATACTCATTAATAATTCATGAAGAAAATTCAAAAGAAATCTGTTTAATCAATGTTTGTAAATTGAATTAAGATTTGTCCTGATTTACATAAACTAATCAGCTTTGATTTTCTTGGCTTAGACAATGTTTATTTTTAAAATTATTTCTCCAATGAGCTTGTATTAAGATCTTGCCTTTGGCTCGAGTTTGTATATCAGATAAAGATTGGGTGCTCATGCTTTAAATTAACTAGTACTTAACCCATTGAGCCCTATCCCCAAGTAATGAAAAAAATTGCCTGATGTTAGACAGAGTATAATAATGGATTTAATAACTTGATTTCTTCGACCAAATAAGAAATCTTGGTGTGAGGGTTTAATATATCTCCCCCGAAAATGAGGGCTTATTTAAGACAGGGTATTAAGTGGGTTTTGAATCATGAAATGATCATGGAACCCCACCTATTCTGGTTACTGGGTTAAATTTCTGGTGCACTGTGCAACTTGCCTTGGGTACAAAACTGCAAAAAAGCTTTTGAAAAGGGAAGAAATTGCCAAAAAATAAATCGTACTGCAAATTACTTACGAATACAAGTAGGGCCCATTGGGCTTATATTGGACAGGTATTAATATTAGAGGGTTATGAAACAGCAAGAAGACGACGATTGAGACCAAGGTGAAATTATTACTGATGGCTGAGGGATGGCGAAGATTGAAACATAAATCGATGCTGATTTTTATACCGACTGGGATTTGAACACCTCGGACAAATTGCAATAATTAAATTGTACACACAGTTTATGCAGTATTATTATGTTAACCAACTTTTTATTATGTGTTTATATCTATTTATTATCATATTTCCTTTTGTTTACGGTGTAGTTTCCAGTAAATTGCAATAAATATTACTAACACCAAAGGCCATCCGCATGTAAGCCCACATGAATAAGCTCACCCCTGTTAAGTCCATCAAAGCGGGAGGTCGACCGACATGTTGTTTTTTTTCGAAAACAAAACGCCCCAAACATTTTTTCCAAACACTAGTTTGAGATATTGGGGGGTTAAAAATACTTTATCAGATTTTTTAGACCTCAATTTTTCAGAAAATGACTCAATATTTAACACGTTTCACAGTTCCAGAATTCCGGGGGCCCCTCTGGGCAAGTTGGGCCCCCTTTCTTGACTTTTCTCTGGGGGAGGAGGTGTTTACAGTAATCATATCCAATTGTAAGGTGTAACATCACAATATCGTAACCTGTGTATTGTCATAAATTATGGAATAAATAGTTAATAATTTGTATTCAAGCTTTTTTCTGACGAAATGTCAAAAGTAAGTAACATAATGAGAGCCTACTGCACACATAAAAATCTCGCAACTTGTCAACACGACGTGTTCGCAACAGGCTTGTCGCAAGCTTGTCAACAAGTCATAACAATGTTGTTATTTTATCAAGTTGCTATACAAGGTTGTCAACTTGTCACTCGCAACTTGTTGACAAGCAGTTGGGATTACACGAAGATAACAAGTTGTAGGAACAACTTGTAACAAGTCCAGACATTCCAACTCTCCCGATTTTACCGGGAGTCTCCTGAAAATTCATGGTCTCCCGATTTTTCAGAATATTCGGGAAATATCGTAAAAAAATCATAAACATACCGTTTTTAGCAACATAATAGTCTGTATTGACCTTTTTATGAAGTCACTTTATGGCAATTTATAGGCTCACTTATAACAACATCTTCCCAAAATGCAGGAAACGCCATTTCAGAAGACTTAATTTTTAAAATTTTTCACAGAAGAACAAGATTTCAATTCACTGAACAGTCTCCCTAAATTTTACTTCGAGTAGTTGGAATGTCTGCAAGTCCGATGAGCTCAACAACCTTGTAGCAAGTTTATCAACAGGCTGTTAACAACTTGTCCACAAGCTGGGAACAAGCAGTCCGAACACATCCTGTTGACAAGTTGTTAGAACAGCATTGCTAAAAGTCTGCTGCAGGTTTGTTACAACTTTTAACGTTTTTACGTGTATATATATTAATATATATAGTTAGATTTTGTTTCGAAATAGGATAAATTCACTCCAACTGACTGTACAAGCATAATATAGGTTGTGACAACAATGCCAGAATGCTACAGTTCAAGAAGGATTCGACTATCTTGAAAAATGACTTCTCTCTAGGTTCATCCCTTGACCTCTATATTTTCAGCTAGTCAAATCCATCTTTCTGGCATAAAAAAGTTCACATAATTAAATGCTTCTCAAGCATTCGCCTGTCAAAATTTAAAAACTTATGGTACCTTCTTACTTGCCTCACTTTCTATACGGCACATTTGCACAATCCTCGTCAAAATTTATATATTTTCAGTTCAAGTTGCGCGAGAATGGCTGCCATATTTGCTAGACGTAACAATCTCCCCCCCCCCCCATGAAAAGTAATAAATAAGGGGGGGAAAAGCCGCTTTAATAATTGTGGACCATTTTGCGCGCTTTTTGAAAAAATATTTTGGCAAAAAGATTAGTCTTCATTTTCAGTTTCGCGACCATTTTTAAGCAGTTTTTTTTACTTTTGAAAACGAATAAAAAAACAACAAAAAAGTAAGGCTATAGCCTTAACTTTTCGCCAATTTTTAGCCACTTATGTCATTTTTCATAAGTTGGCAAAAAACAGCAAAAAAGTAAGGCTACATATAGTCTTAACTTTTCGTCCATTTTTAGCCACTTATGTCATTTTTCATAACTGGGAAAAAAACAGCAAAAAAGTAAGGCTATAGCCTTAACTTTTCGTCCATTTTTAGTCACTTATGTCATTTTTCATAACTGGGCAAAAAACAGCAAAATAGTAAGGCTATATATACCCTTAACTTTTCGTCCATTTTTAGCCACTTATGCCATTTTTCATAACTGGGCAAAAAACAGCGAAAAAGTAAGGCTATAGCCTTAACTTTTCGTCCATTTTTAGCCACTTATGTCATTTTACATAACTGGACAAAAAACAGCAAAAAAGTAAGGCTATAGTCTTAACTTTTCGTCCATTTTTAGCCACTTATGTCATCTTTCATAACTGGGCAAAAAACAGCAAAAAAGTAGGGCTATGGCCTTAACTTTTCGTCCATTTTTAGCCACTTATGTCATTTTTCATAACTGCGCAAAAAACAGCAAAAAAGTAAGGCAATAGCCTTAATTTGTCGTCCATTTTTAGCCACTTATGTCATTTTTCATAAGTAGGCAAAAAACAGCAAAAAAGTAAGGATACAGGCTTAACTGTTCGTCCATTTTTAGCCACTTATGTCATTTTTCCTAACTGGGCAAAAAACAGCAAAAAATTAAGGCTATAGCCTTAACTTTTCGTCCATTTTTAGCCACTTATGTCATTTTTCATAACTGGGAAAAAACAGCAAAAAAGTAAGGCTATAGCTTTAACTTTTCGCCAATTTTTAGCCACTTATGTGATTTTTCATAAGTTGGCAAAAAACAGCAAAAAAGTAAGTCTACATATAGCCTTAACTTTTCGTCCATTTTTAGCCACTTATGTCATCTTTCATAACTGGGCAAAAAACAGCAAAAAAGTAGGGCTACAGCCTTAACTTTTCGTCCATTTTTAGCCACTTATGTCATTTTTCATAACTGGGCAAAAAACAGCAAAATATTAAGGCTATAGCCTTAACTTTTCGTCCATTTTTAGCCACTTATGTCATTTTTCCTAACTGGGCAAAAAACACCAAAAAAGTTAGGTTATAACCTTAACTTTTCGTCCATTTTTAGCCACTTATGTCATTTTTCATAAGTGGGCCAAAAACAGCAAAAAAGTAAGGCTATAGCCTTAACTTTTCGTCCATTTTTAGCCACTTATGTCATTTTTCATAAGTGGGCCAAAAACAGCAAAAAAGTAAGGCTATAGCCTTAACTTTTCGTCCATTTTTAGCCACTTATGTCATTTTTCATAAGTGGGCCAAAAACAACAAAAAAGTAAGGCTATAGCCTTAACTTTTCGTCCATTTTTAGCCACTTATGTCATTTTTCATAAGTGGGCCAAAAACAACAAAAAAGTAAGGCTATAGCCTTAACTTTTCCTCCATTTTTACCTACTTATGTCATTTTTCATAAGCGCGCCAAAAACAGCAAAAAAGTAAGGCTATAGCCTTAACTTTTCGTCCATTTTTAGCCACTTATGTCATTTTTCATAAGTGGGCCAAAAACAGCAAAAAAGTAAGGCTATAGCCTTAACTTTTCGTCCATTTTTAGCCACTTATGTCATTTTTCATAAGTGGGCCAAAAAAGTAAGGCTA